AACTTTATAATACTAAGCTTCTCAGATACGGCTTATTTGCTGGACAGGCAGAACCTGGAAACAGAGGTAGGAATTAAACACATAACTGAAAACATGGACACACTGTAGTCTGATATCCTTGGAAATTATTGCTGTACAAATAACAACACAGACTCACAACATAATGCCAGTGTATCTAGATGGACCCAAGAGAGAGAATGAACATACACATGTCGATTGCCTTGTTTGTACACTAAGTAATGCATATATTGCTCATTTTTTCTGAAGCCTGAATGGGAAATGCGTTTTTAACAGATTTAATCAATACATCAACCTACATTAAAAAAATAAATAAACCCACACAATAAATAAAAAGCAAAAGACCAATCAATAGCCAACGGTGCACCTTAACAGGCACTCCAGCAGAAAACTGTCTGAAAAGGAGCTTCACACTCCACTGTCTGCACGATCCACAGCTGTTTGCTATTGATTTGTTGCAGGCAAAGAACATCTTTTATTACATGCCAGTGTGAACCTAGCAATTTCTCCAACAAGTAGCCCGCAATGTAGGACTAGCAATGTAGTGCAGGTCACTGGCTACTGAGGGTGGGCTGAGGACCCACATTTATTTCCTTCTGTTCTTCCCACAAAGCCATTATAAACACCCGATATCTAAATCCAGTGACTTGCTGTGCTTTAAGCACTCACGCGCCACACACTGTTCCACATTCAATTCTTTATGGCACAGGAGCAATAATGAGACCCCCAAAATTGTACACAACTCAAAACAGTTGTCATAAACACGCTCAAAGGTAACTATAGTGGTTAAGGATTGATGTAAGGTATTTAAAATCGCTATTTTCACAAAGTCCCCAGAAATGACAATGCTTTTGTGTATGTGTGGGTACGTGCAAGTGAGTTGGATTTTGTGCAACACTGTATGGTGTTGTGGAGAGAGGAACTCAACAATAGGCCGCCCTCCCCACATCACAGGAAAGGGATTCTGGATTTGCCTGATGGCGTGATGGCTACAACATATTGAAATCTCTCAGGCTCTCGGTCCTGATTTTAAATACCAGCAGGAACCCAACATCCAAAAAGAATATCCCTATAAGAAACTTTGTAAGGTTCCCTTTCTTTTGTTCTTCTTAAAATGTAGCCCCAACATTAAGTTGGCACTCAGGTGGTATGCACCATCTGAGAAGTCAGCCCTCTCTGTTTAGAATTTTTCAGAAGAACTGAAGATTTTCTTTGGAGAATGTTACTGGTGTGTCCTTCCATAGATCTTACTGGATCCTACATGAACTCAAAATTACTTCTGGGATGACTGTTTATTAGAGTTTCAAAACAGCCCTAAATTCACATAAAGGAAACTCCCTGCAAATCTGCTATTATATGAAATGGTAGAAGATCTTATCTTAAAACTACATAAGACAATTAGTAAATCAATTATACCTGGGCTTCCAATCAAATCACTTTTGTTTTTTCTCTAATACAAGAGAGTCATTCTTACACAAGATAACCAGCCACGGAGAATACATGCCACACCTTCACAATCACTGTATCAGCTTTGCATGGCTATCTTTATAAGACTAAACCTGAAATTCACCCCACTGCCTCCATCAATCCACCATGCACTCATAGAAAATGATGGAATAAAGTTAAACCCATCCATGCTTGGTCTACTCATACTAAATGAGATGTAGTTTCTAAACATAAACTCTACTCATGGTTATCTATGTGACAGCACCTCAAAATCATCAAGCAAACACCCAATTGGGCAAACAGGCAAGAAAAATCAAAGGTCATGAATGAAGGAACTAATGCTAGGAAAAATGTGGGGACCCCTAAAATGCAAACATTTCTTTAGAAACTTGCAAATCATGCCCAGATATAAGTAACTTTTCTATATATGATGAACTTGAACTGAAACCTTTATTTTGAAAAATATCAAAACCTAGCACTTTCCTATTAAACGAGTTTCTATTCTTGGATGTGCAGTAAGAAATTGTGATTTTTTTTTTCATTTCCATTAACTGAGATGATCTGCTGTCCTGAGAAATAGCTCATGGAAAATGAGAGATCCAAACCTTCCCCTCCAGCCCCCCAACAGAACATCTGTTGCCATTAGATAGAATCCTCCACCAACCATAGGTTCCTATGACAGCATTGTAAGAAATACAATGTATTTTAGATATATGCAACATTCTTTAGAATACACTATTCCTAAAAATCAGGTAAAGGCCAGATTTCCTTGACACGCCAATTATCATGTCAAAGGCAGGCCACCTGTGGAAGGCATGCTACCAAAGCAATTACTAATGGCCTCTGTGTTCTTCCGTATAAGACTCAGCCCTGCTTTTCTCTCCATTATTTCTTCTTCATCATCTTTCCTCTTCCATTCGCTTATTGTATCTGTTCCCCTTTCTTTGCAATTTTCCCCATGGCCTTTGCCAACGATAAGCACGAGCTTTGTTTGAATCTGCTGGTGACACTGAAGGTGAAGGCTCATCTCCTGATGCAAGCTAAGCTACCAAGAATTTGCTAACATAGGCTCAGAGAAAATAAAATAGGTAACTTAATTTTGAAGATGTTGTGAGATAAAGTACCAAATTACAACTCTAAAGGTCAAGGTTGATACAGACATTTATGATCTATGATGTAGATGTAAGGCTGATTTTTTAGGTGGAACAAACTGGCACTGATGCTAATTCCAAAAGTTCCCTCAATACTTTCAATGTTGATCATTGGATTCAGAGGCATCTAGTGTACAATTTTAAGCAACCTAACATTCTGATATACGCAGTTGGTTTCATTAAAAGCATATATCTGCATATGACAGTTATATCTATCTGAACTCTATATATTCCTTACATTCTGCAATTAAAATGTATTTGCTCACATTTCTATATAGCCATCTAATCACACAAGCCTGGTCTGCTTTCCAACAGGAGTTGAGGCAAGTAGATTCTTTTAATAACTTGGCCTCGGAGGTCTTCTGCCATAAAACCCTCATCTGTATTGTTTACAGAATAAAACCAGAATGCATTACCTAGGCCTGGATATCTCAGAAACATCTTTGAAGGATGACATGGTACTGTCACAAAAGAAAGTTGACATTTCCCAATCCATTCTAGTACTTCATTATATATTGACAAATTGTTCAAGTCAGATAATGCACCAGTCTTCATTCTGGACTGAGACACCATCTGCTCTTGACAAGTTAGAAAATAATCATAGAAAGCCAGAAAGAATCCTGGTTGATTTTTAGCAGAAAACGATGCCTAGGACTGGGTGGCTGAAAGGAACTTGTCAATGAGAGAAAAATGTATACATACCTTCTGAAGACCGTGCTATTCACCGTAGTTAGAGTAACTTACCTTTCTGCGTTTTCTGTGTGCAGTCTCGTCCTGACCATTTTCTACCAGGAGGGGTAGGTATTTATGATACAGAGGATAAAGAAGCATTATGCCACCATTTAGGATAAAAAGCTTTCCTAATGACTCCTATGCAGACAAAGTGGAGGGAAAATAGCATATAGCACAATTGCCCAGATATTCTGGATGGGTCCATAGCTGCCTATTTCAGAGTGAAACAGTATTTACAACTCATAAATGGGGAAACAAGACTTTCAATAATACCAAGTACTTGGAAAGAACAACCTGATGCCAAAACTTTCTGCAGATACTGTGTCCTTTATGTTACAGACCTAGAGGCACTGCTTACATTAGATCAATGAGAATCAAAGATGTTTCTCTCTACACTGATAGAGTCCCCACTTGTTTCTCCAGATAGATCTTAAGAGACACATGGAGCACATAGAGACAAGAAGCTAGGAGAAAAATGAGAAACAGAATAAGGGGCAACTATTCACATGAAAAAAAAAAGTTGAGAAATAAGGATTCAAGAAAAACCAAGAAAACACGATAGAGACAGCATTGTAATCAGTGCCTGCTCCCACTTAGGCAACCACAATGTGACTTTAGTATCTGCTCAGATAAACACCATGCATCTTTTTATAAAACCAAGAGACCAACTAACTACGAGTTCAGATTGTAAAATAAACTCCTACCATTTAGAAAATCAGAAGATCAGCAGGATCCACTACGTCAGGGCTTTTAACAAATCTCTTTGTAATAGAGGTATTCAGAAAATTCAGGTGTTGGCTCATCTTTAAAAATAGCCATGTTAGGAAAGTAACATGAGAAGAAGGGGAGACACAGGTTATAGATTTCAACAGAACTGAAGTATCTCCACCATCATCTCTAGAATCACCTCCCTGAAACCAGTCTTCTAGAATTAAATTGGCTGATAGAAGTATTGCTGGTGGACAAAGATAACAACTGGCTCTCTTCCAATATGAACCAAATATGCAGATATATACATACAAATATACGTACAAAATAGAAATGCATATATAAACAGAATGACCATGTACATACAAACCAAATAGATATCAATAAATTTAGCCAGAGGGAATTCCCAACATTTGAAAAACCCCTGAGAATGCTTTAAACATTTCTAGTTGGAAAAAATAATAAACTCTGAATGCCTTCATCGTTTGGAAGATCTAAGAAGTTCTCTAAACTCAGAATTTTGAGAAAATAGTTACATTCCTTAAATAACCTCTAAATTCTAGACAATGCAAATGGGAGAGTCTCAAAGTTGTTACCCAGATGACTTAACTAAGGGAAAACTGAACTCCTTAGAACAAAAATATTGCTTGAACTGGGTTTTTTTGTTTTTTTGTTTTTTTTTTTTTTTGATTCTCAGCCACAGTCAATCTAATCTAAAGAAAAAACATAAGGAGTAAGCAAATGGGAAAACATCTAGTAATGTTGAGCAAGAAATGTCTCTTTGCTCTTCCATTAAAAGCACCAGTCCCTTATTTTCCAAGTTTCTGGAGGAGGAAATTGCTTACAAGTCTTTCAGAAGAGCCATCCTTTTATAATGTCCCTTAAGGTTTCTCCAAACCTCTAAACACTGATAAAACTCCCAAGTATGGAAAAGGTTGTACTCACGATCATTGCACTGGTTTCCAGAATATGACGTCATGGAGCAGTCACAAGTGAAGCCTTCCCACTGCTGCATGCAGACCCCCTGGTTGGCACATGAATCTTCCTGGCAGGTAGTACTTGGTCCTAGTAATCCATAGGAAGAGGGGGAGAGAAGAAAAAAGGAGAGAGAGAAGTGTTAACAATCAATCAAGTTCAAAGCAAGCACTCGACTTTGCTACTCCCATGTCCCAAAACATTCAAAAACACAACTGCCAAAAATGTCAATTCTAGATCATGCAACAAGAATCAGTATATACAAAAGATTACAGAAATACACACTTAGCCACAAACTATCAATAGTTACACACAGAAGGGAGAGGGCTGAACACATTGTTCTCTCTAAGGCAGACTTTGCAAAAGAGCTTCACCTCTACCATCCAACTAGAAAGACACTTCATTTAGAATATGGTCTTTCTAAATGTATAATGGTAAAGCAGAAGAATTTATTCCCATGATTCTTATGACTTAAGGTATAAAAGTCCCTAAAGTTTACTTTATGACATTAAGAAGATGTTTGATGATATGAAGAGGAGGAAGAGAAGCATATAGCAGCCAACATGTCTTGGTGTTTTGTAGGTGGTAAGTACTGGGTACTAAGCACTTTGTCTACATTATCTCATTATGCTCTCCAGTGACACTAAGAGGTAAGTAATTATGATCACCCATTTAACAGATTAAAAGAAAAAGAAAAAAAAGTAAGCTCATACTAGTAAAATAATTTACCCAAGGTCACACATTTGGTAATGGAAGGACTCTGATATCCAACTTAGGTAAACTACCTCTGAGACCCAAGCTCTTAACTATATCAGTGGTTCTTAAAGTGTTAGTTCTCAGACCGACATCACCTGGGAAGTTGTCAGAAATGCAAATGATGGGGCCCCAGACCTACTGAATTAGAAACTTCAGAAAGAGGTATAAATGTGTGTTTTCACAAGTTTCCAGGAAACTGGGATGCAAGTTTGAGAACCAGTATATTGCACCATGTGCTGGTGCTATCGGTTTACAGAAGGGTATATTCAAAAGCACGTCCATATGCCAGAGGATGCAAATGAGGATTATTTGAGGGATAGGAAGAAAATATTAGAAATTACATTCATTTAAAATTTTTTCTTTATTATTTCTATTTTTGTGTGTCTTTCATAAATAAGTAATATATAAGTACAACGGTACATGTATCTGATATATAAATAATTACATTTATTTGGGGGGCATTCTCAAAAACTTTTCTGGAGATCAGTAAGCAATTGATAAAGTTTTGTGATCTCTACCTTACAGATTGTCATTAAAATCTCTCATAGGTCAGCCTGAGTTCTCTCTTTAACCATTCTTTTTCATTTCTATTTTCTGCCTTAAACCTTATCTTTATTAAAGATAAACCTGCACCTTTGAAATTATCTGAGCTAACAGGAACTATCTTGATATTCAGGATAACTCCCAAGAGAGTCAGCAAACGAGGCAAGCCCTTTGACTCATCAGATATATTACTCAGGATCTGATGCAAAAGAGCACTTGACAGGGTAAAAATATATCCATTCCAATAAGTTCGTATTTCACCGTTTCCAAAGAAAAGCCTCACATAGGCACAGACTATTGAAATGCATGCATGCAGAGTCCTAAGGATGCATGTTCAAAAGAGATACATGACTACAAAGGGTTTGTCTTGTGGGTGGCGAGACATTTTGTATTTATTCATGAGGGGTAGAAGCAATACAGACCATCACTCCTAATACAAAGCTATTAGGATATGACATAAGAAAGTTTGAGACAATTACTACCACCGGGGGAGCAGCAATGGTGCTGGGTCTCCGCAGCTTCTATATGCCATGTGGTTCCCCCATGTGGAGATGAAATGAGGTTCATGGTCATGTTCTCAGTAGGTCTTGAACTTGAGCATTGTGTAGTACAAGTTTCATTAACAATGGCAAAATCAGGACAGCTTCTCTCAAAGGAAAAAAGTTTCTGAGAAGTCCACAGGGCTCCCTGACCAAACAGCTCTTACCAGACAATGGACTAGTAATTCAATTGTACTCAAGAATCAGAAACACATGGAAGGCTTTCCTTTGAAAGGCAGTAGAACAGCAAAAACTTTGGGAAAACACAGTAATTCCTTGAATGTTGATTGAATCTGAAGACAAAGGCTTTTCCATGCTTTTCCCTTCCCCTCTAGCCAAATTTTCACCATTTTCCAAGGACCAGCTCGAAGGCCTCCCCAGTATAAAAGATTCCCTAGTAATTTCGAACAATTCTCCAACTTCTTAGTGGCCATGGCCCTTATTATCTGCATCATTAACATTTACATATGATAATACTCAATTTAACACTTTATTACACACTGTGCTGTCTTCTGCTTATATAATCCTCTAATTGTTTTGTATGTTTTTTTAGTATTTGTCCCCAAAAGACTGAATGCTGCCTGCTGCTAGAAATCATAATATGCTTTGATTATATCCTTGCTGGGTTAAGTGTAAAGTGCCAGATACAGAGAACATGTTTCAGTCAATGTTGAGCTGATCTCAAATGCAGCCCCTTGGTGTGCCTATGTCTCCTACTGTCGAAACCTGAGCATGGGTGACTATCTGTGCTGCACAAAGTCAGCGATTTTTCCTATTCATCAAAGGTTGGTCAGGACTCTAAAACAGAGGGAATTACAGGGTATTTTCAAATTCCACGGAATTTGTTGCACATGCATTAGGGGGCGAGTGCCATGCAGAATCAGATAATCCTCAAAGACTACAAAGACTATGTCGTAATCACCTCAGAACAAGAGCGGTTGCAGTGAGGGAGGGCTGGAAGAACCTGCAATGACTCCTCATTGACCTGAGACTAAACTTGCACTTGCCATTGAGGCTGAGATCCTAGGGCCCCTGCCCCCTCCTCCAGCCTCACTTCCCACTATTGGCCCCCAGCCCACAGTGCTCCAGCCATCTCTTCATTCTTTCACTCCCTCTCTACCCCAGTGGAGCTCACAGGGTGGGTCCCCAGTCAGCAGCCCCTGCATCACCTGGGAGCTCCTGACAAATGTGCGTTTTCAGGCTCCGCCCAGACCTACTGGCTGGGGGCAGGTCTCAGGAATCTGAGTTGTGACAAGCCCTCTGCGTGGTTCTGAGGCCTGCTCACATTCTAGGACCTCTGCTCTTATATTTCAAAACCATCTCTATCTTCGGGTCCTCTGCTCTTGCTCAGCCTACAGCCTGAAATGTCCTTTCTGCAGATTTTCAAATGACCGGTCCATTCTTATTCTGTTTAAGTTTCAGGCCTAAGATGGGCTTTCTTCAGACTCTCCTATTTCAGGAAGTCCCCATCAGCATTTCATGTGCTCTCCATCACATCTCCCTCTTTATTTAACTCAACAATTGTACTGCCTATAACTAAGTCATTTATTAAAAATTTTTTAGAAGATTTTATTTATTTATTTGACAGAGAGAGACACAGCGAGAGAGGGAACACAAGCAGGGGGAGTGGGAGAGGGAGAAGCAGGCTTCCCGCCGAGCAGGGCGCCCAATGCAGGGCTCGATCCCAGGACCCCGGGATCATGACCTGAGCCGAAGGCAGACACCTAACGACTGAGCCACCCAGGTGCCCCAGAAATATTGTTAAATGAAAAGAGAACAAGAGAACCAAAACCAAAAGAAAAACAAATGAATCATTCTTTTATGACTTACAGCCAAGTGGTTTTCCAAACTGATCATTTATCCATAAAATTCACCAATATCACTTCATACAAGCAATATTCTACTTGGAATCACTTTTTGTGGGGAGGTAGTGGTGGTGGTGGGATTTAATTGGCCACATTTCCTCCCCTAATTTAATTATTAGACTAATCCAATCTTACCAGATATTGAGACAAGGACTCTTTTGTGTCCCCAAGTATGAACCGTTGAATGAACAAGAGTTTGAACTAGAGTCTAAAAAACTTTCTAGATGATAATATAAGCTCCTGTTCTTACTTCAGACTACTTAAGTACATCCTTTCCTGAACAGATTATATTTTATATTTGTATCTATTTCTCATAGATAGCAGTGTCTCCAAAATTAGAGAAAGAAATTAGAGAAACATGCCAAACTGCTCTGATAAAGAAAATCTTCAACAATGCTTTTAAATGTTCCTCATTGATATAAAATGATCCTGTACAAAAAGGATATAACAATAACAAAACAAGGGTTTTACATAGCACTTATCATATGCTAGACACTGTACTAAGTGCATTTCAGATATTAATTCAATTAATCTTCAAAAACACATGATGAAGCAACGATAATTAAAAGTATTAAAGAATCAGAAAACAGGAATAATTTTCTCAAGGAAGAACTTTAAAATAATCCAGAACTTCAAAAATAAAGGAATTTTTTGACTGGTGATCAAGCTGGAAGGCAAGGATTTCAGAGAAGGAAACTGAGTCACGGAGTTAGGTGATAACTCCGTAACAAGTAGTAGGGTGAGATCTCAAACCCAGGCTTGCTAACTCAACAGCTGAGCCACCTAACCTCTATGGATATAGGTAAGCCATACAGTGAATGTGTGAGAGTGTATGTGTGTGTGTGTGTGTGTGTGTTACCATTGGCTTAGCAAGAGAAACTTAAATAAGGTCTCTCTAATCTATAACCAGAGAAAGATGACTTTTTAATGTAAAAATGTGTGGGGTTTTTTTCAAGGAAAAAATTCAAAGTCCATTTCTATTCAAAATTCAATAAAAAATTAACAGGAAGATCGAGTTTTATCCAATTACGTATAATACCAGAACAAAAATCTGTATCAAATACTTACAAATATAAGGCACTCCTAAGAACTTAAAAATACTTTTGTCTAAAACATTCTTCCAAATCAAACTAAAATTGCAAAAATTCTAAGATAACGTAAACCTTTAGAATAATATATTTAGAATGTTTTCAAAATTATTATTAATAGCTTAAAACTGCAATAAACCTTTCGGAAACGCTTGTATAAAGATCGTGTGTACGACTTTTGCATTTGACATGTAACCAATCCTCACTAAAATAGCCACATAGTCGTTTGAGACAAGATGGTGACTCTTTTTGTCTAGCGGGGGAAGTGACAAGGCAACAGAAGTGTGTAAGACTCAACA